GCAGGAATGTTATTTAAGGAGACATAGAGCATGTCTGAAACTAAACTTCAGACTTCAGGACAAAGTCCTATTGACAAACACAGGCTAATTTGCTGGTTTCTCCTTTTCTCTGCTGCTGGTTCTACCAAGAAATAGAAGGGAAATATGCTCCAACTACATTCCCAGCTTACCCCAATGGCATAACGCTTGATTCCTGCCATCTTGGGTGAATTTATCACAGTTGTCAAGTTCATTTCATCTAGGAGTATTTCCCCATCTGTAAGCACAATCATGACCTTTGCTGCATCCTTGCGGGACCCATGACTTTCAGTGAAGATAGAATCCCTGGAAAATATCAAAACAAAGAACTTGGGATGAAAGTTGAAGCTTCCCTCCTTGGGATAGAAGGAAGAGTCTTGTTGAATTATGCACCTGCAACTAACAGTCACAGCAATGAGGCAAGAGGATTTCTTTCGTATTCACACATCTTAAAACTACTAGGAGTTGTCTCTCTGTTGCTTCCTGAGTGCCCCCACACCAAGAATTAGGCACCAACAGCTGGCTTTCATAACTCTAAAACACGGCATGGGAACCACTGCCTGCCATTCAACTACTGCCAGATAAATCACTGCTTTCAGGACCTGAATGTCCATAGATGTCCCTCTCCCTTACTCATGAAATACCCCACAAATTCATCCCCTTAATTTCTTGTGCTCTTTTGTTACTTACAGGACATGCTGCATGGCAGATGCTGTTTTTGTCACATTGCACACCTGCACAATATCAAGTACTTTCTGGAGGGTGGCACGAGGATCCCAGTTTTCTCGCAGGTCGAACTCAGTTCGGATTTCAAACCCATACTGCACCACTGCAAAATTGCACTGGAAGGAAGCAGCAGATAAGCACCTGCTTGTGACTACCGTTGATTCATCTCTGCAACAACTGGCCCAGAAATGCCAACAGAAACATTAGCCAGACTATGCAGAAAGGAAGATTTCTTTTCAAGAGAAGGTGGCTTTTAAGTATGTCTAGTGCAGACGCACAGATTGTTGTAAGCATACAATAGCTGAGGAAAACCAAATCATTACCAGTACGGAGAGAAAAATTGTTTTGGGAAACATTGATTTAAGTCCTTCCATTTTCCTGCTCTGTTTGGCCCATGTGCAGGCTGCAGAGGAGATTATCTGTGATATTACTGTGTTGTTCCTTCATTGCTCCCTGCTGCACATTGTCTCTCCTTGGAGTATGTCATGATGCTCTGATTATCAAAGACTGGAGAATGGGACCATTTCTTCACTTTGTATTTGCACCCTAGAATACGCTGACACTTGAAGCATTTGAGAGATAGAGGCTTTCCTAAAGTTCGTGTGTGGATCACACTTCCTCACAAGAGGAAGCAGCAGAGTACCATCACACAGAATATGTGACTGGAGTTAAGAAGACTGGCTGAAGAAGCAGTCTAATTGGTGCTTCTGTGATTGCAGGTACAGGTGTTACAATATAGGAATAGAGACAGGAAACCAGAGGAGAGTCATGACTGTCACCTTACAAGAAAAGCAGAGATGGGCAGCGTAGCAGAGCTAGGGATTTCTGAGCATATAAATTAGACCTTTCATATCTACAATATTATTGGGATCAAGACTGGGAATGTACTGCTAAGATGTAAGCAAAATTATGTTGAGAATACATGCCAGTTGTGGAAGTGCTTTTCCATCCTAATAGAAACAAACCTGGCAGTTTCAAATTCTGGTGAAAAGCAGCTTAAAGTACAGCATGTTCTTTAGCCTGCTAAAGAAAGAGAGTGGAGAGTACCTCAAAGCACTTCTCATACAACGTTTTCATCATCTTGTGGATGAATCCTTTTGCTCTTTCGAAATCTTCGGGCTCAATGCTCCCTGATCCATCCAGGACAAAAGCAATCTCAGTTCCAGAAGCTGCCCAGGAAAGTAAAGGAAAGAGAAGGCACCAATCAGCAGTCTTGGTCAGAGCCAAGTTCTTTATGCAGTGTTATTGATCAACATACAAGTCATCTCACTCAAACAAGCAACTGAACTGCACCAAGACTGCTCAGCTGTCATTTCAGCATGACCTACATCTCAGGTCTGGCAGCTCATGGTACAGCATCTCCCCAGGCTTTGTCAGCCCATGACAGTCCCTGCCATGATTTTGTTAAAAAGATACTTCACCACGTACGCAAGTCATTTTCTTCCTCCTCTTCATCCTCCTCCATCCAGGAAGGGAGCTTGCTGTCACCACTGTTACTAGGTTTTCTGTGCCCTGGTGCTTCAGCTCGAGTATGTTCAGCTGAATCAGGAAATGAGTTTGAGCAAAGATGACAGGGTAAGAGAGAAAGCAAAAGGTGAAGAAAACGCTTGCAGTACTGCCTATACAGTTTTCCTGCACCTTGCTGCCTGCCAGCTGAACTCTTCCTCATCCCTGAAGTCAATATTGTATTCAGGTGCAAGACTACAGGTACTATGGAAATACCTGAGACTTTTGAAGGCTGTCAGGACCAGGACTGCATTTTAAAACTGCTGCTACAGTTCAACAGAAATAAACTGCTCTGAGCACACCCAGAAGGGCAGTAATTTAACAGAAACACTGAGCCTCCGGTGAATGTACGGTAAAGCACCTCTCTCTGTACTGATGTTATGGCTGCAGGTCACAGATCCAAATATGATTCTTCTGTCCTCCTGGCTGCCTGGCTGAGGAGGACTGTTACTAGTGTAATAGAAATCACTTGCAACTTGCTGTTGCTGGGCAAATGATTACCAGAACAGGTAAGATCTGGATATGAATTTACATTCCCTGAGCAATGAAACTACCCCCCATTACAGATACACCCTATAAGTTACAGAGAACACAGATGTATCAGGAGTGGGATTTCTTCTACCTGAATCTCTCAGAGTCTCTCTCTCCAGCTCTGAAATGAAACTGTCAAAATCTTTATGTGTGGACAGCATGAACCTGTCACCTCTAATTTTCTGCAGCTCTTCTGGCACCCACTGGTTGCTTATGAACTCTCCAATCTAGGGAGAAGACAGGGAGATTGAACACATTTCAAACACAGACCAAAAAACCAGCAAATTCCCAAATTGCCATTAAAAACTTCAAAGCTCTTCATAGGAGGGAGTTTTCTGAAAGCTTGGTAAAGCAACCCTGATCCTAGATTCCCTTATCTGCAAAGAAAAAATAAAATAAAATAAAAGCTCTAGAGCCACAAGACATACACAACTGAAGCACTTTTGTTTCTAGGATATATTCCTTAATTCATTCAAAATAAGCTCTCTGACATCAAGAAGATGGAGGCCTGAGTGAAACGGAGAAGCCAGGGCATCTAGGATTGGACATCCTGCAAGTCTAATGCATGACTACTTTTTCTTTCACCCCCTGCTAAAGCATAAGAGCAGACATATAGGATGAATGGAAACATCACTCCTTATATATGTGTTTTGATGCAAAAAAGTATGACTTTAATGGTGCTTCCCACTCACCCCAGGAGCATAGAGTTTGACCATAGCCATTTCCAAGGAGTTCATCACATTTCTCAACCTATTGCTTTCCAGAAGCACTTGCCCAGATGCCATGACAATGACTACCTTGTTAACAGTCTGGTTGGAGTCATGCCTTTCAAAGACTTTATCCCTGTGGAAAAAGAAGCCAAGAGGTATTTCATGGGACAAGCCATGTCTGCAGAGCTAGAAATGTTGATAGCAGGGTGTTGATGTCCACTGAGCTCTCAGCCCACAGGAGTGGAGATGTGCAAGGCAAACACGCACAAGGTTTTACGCTTTCCAGGGACACTGGCTGTCCACAACAGGTAGCTCTGACTTCATGAGCACTTTCACAAATAGCATATGGGGCATTTTTACAGTGTGGGTCAGTAGTGTTAGAGTCATGCTATTGAGAAGAAAATGGAGTCAAGAGGAAAAGCATGACTCCCAGAGATGCAGCACATCAGTGCAGATGGGAAAGCAGCTGCTTAAAGCAAGACCCAAGTGACTGAATTTTCATTCTGAAGCCCCTGTGTCAGCCAGGAAGGATTTCACGCTGCCCCTTGGCAATTACTCATTTACAGGCCTCAGCTGGCAAAGCCTGTCACTAAGTGAAGCATTGGAAAAGAGAAGGTTTTGAGAGTGTGAGATGAAGAAGAGTAGAGAGGAGATGTGGGAGACTGCACACGAAACAAGGAATCACTTGAGTGTTCCTGGAGCTTCCCAAGACACATGAACTCACAACACATGCTGCAGTGTGGCTGCGATGTCAGTCTGCGAGCTCTGCTGCTTGATGTTCTGGACTTTGAAGAAAGCAGTTAGTCTGTTGCAGCTCTCTTGCAGGCTCAGTTCAGTTTGGATCTGTGCTCCATACTGCACCACAGCAAACCTGATCTGGAGAAAGCAGATGGCAGCGCCAGAGCTGGTTAGACAAGATCTAAGGCAGGATCCCTAAGACCTCAGAATGCCAAGTTTAGTCCCAAACTCTACTGCACAAACACAAAAAGCATATGTTGCAAGTAATAGGTATATTGTCTTTATCCCTCTGTCTCCATCAGACATTTGTATTCTGGTGATCACTTTTGGATCAGTTCCAGGAACTGACTTTATTTTCTTTGGCTCAACACAGTGATTTCTCTGTCTGAAGTTCCTGTATTTATCTCTTTGGCTAGACCTTTTGTGAGCATATGGCTCAGCCTCACTTTGTCCCCAGATTTATTTAAATAATTTAAAGTAATGGCTTATACACCCTACTTCTTATTTTTGCATGTTGTGGTTTAAGGTGCCCTGAGAGATTTGCCTGCTAAAATATCTAAGCATGCTTCTGACATGAAAATTCACTCCTAACTCTTTCGCTTCCTTCTTCAGCTGCTCCTCCTCCTCGGCTCACTAACATTTAACTCTTGCATTAGAATATGTAGAATTATTACCAGCATCAATGTGAAGTTTAAAAAGCAATAATTACATGAACTAGGAGACTTTCCATTCTTCACTAGAGCTCTGATCCACCCTGTCTATCAGATTGTGAGGAGGTTCACACACCTTTGAGCATTTCTGCCACATTGACTTCATCAGATTGAGGACAGAGGTCTTGGCATTCTGGAAATCCTCTGGCTTGGTGTTCTCTGATCCACCCAGAATGACAGCAATCTCTGTTCCCACTTCTGTCAATGCAGTTAAATATAAAAGGACATTTGAAGGTACATTTGAGCAGCCCAACATTTAACAAGGGTTCAAGAACATTCACATAGTATTAAACAACCAAAACTTTGACTACTACACCATCCAGCCATTTTAAAAGCAGGTCGAGCTGATGTGGTCTACACTGTAGTGACAGGTTTTATTGTTTAAAATCTCAGTTAATGATGATTGTAACAATGATTGAAATTTATCATTACAAATAACCTTCAAAACCTCAATCTTTTCCCTCCCCAGCTCTCTCCCACCAGATGCATGCAAGCCACTTCAAACTCAGCTAATACAGAAGGAAGTAGTATTTGTACCTCTCCAGTACTTACCTTTGCACATAGAGTTGTTTTGTGTGCTGCCAAAGAGCTCACCACAAGCACTGCTGGTGGTGTCTGTGCTGATAGAGCTGCTCCTGTCAGTAATCTTGTCATTGCTGGGTTTACTTTGAATGCCTTTTACTTTGGTCTCAACTAAAGAATTTAAAAAGCAAGAAAAAAACACACTCTACCTTTTGAAAATACTCTTCTAATAAACACATCTTAAACTCAGGAACCTGCTTTCACCCAGGTTCCCAAATTTGCTAAAGACCTGAGTGTCAGACTGTTAACAGCAGTTACGCAACTGAGGATGGAATGAGACCATCTAGTTGTCTAACTGAAACTTGTCAGCTTCTTTGCAGTGACAGCAAGGAGCAGAGCAAGGCTGGACAATCAGACCAGCTCTCTGCTCTCTTGATTAAATGCCCAGTTCAGTTGGAATGAACCATCTTTAATGCCCAGGCGCTTTTAAAACTCCCAATGGATATCTGTCATACCCATCCACTGAGAATGTCAATGCCTTTCTAAATTCTGGTTTAAGAACTGGATCTTTTGGATGCATGGACACCACAACAGGACATCCCTGCTGCTGTGTGCTAATCTGCAGGGCTGAACCGTGTAACACTGTTGAAGCCACTATGATATATGTTAAAGTCCAGCTCTAGGTCTCTCCCAGTGGGCAGTAGGTTAGGAACTCAGAAGGCCCCTGCTGTTAGAGCAGAGCCTCATGCTGTTATTTCTGTCCCCCAGCAAAGACACAGCACTGGCTTTGCTCTTATACCCATCTTGGTGAGGTTGAGGAAGGCTGTTCTGTGCAGGTCGGTGGTGAGCAGAGTGCAGACTCCATTCATGTCTTCGGTGGTGGTGAAAGCTCGGTGATGCTTCTTCTGCAGGCAAGCCTGTGGGGCAACAGGAAAAGCTAATGTATGAGGAGCAAAGCTGTAGGCAGAGAATGACTGAAGATGCCATCTGGCAAACATTCAGCATTGCCTGCACAGCATTGAAAGCCTACTGGGAGCAGAAAAGCACCTTCCCTGATGTGACCCCTGCCACATGAGGTTACCCAGGACTCCTGCCCTGAGCTGAGGCAAAGACTGGGGCTGGGGGCTAACCAGACTGAGGTGTTAGCCTCCAAACTGGTGGCTCTCCCAAGCCTCCTCTGCTAATCCTCCATTTCCTATGAGTGGGGGTGGCTGTGGTTAAATACAAGGTACTTTGCAGTCCTCAGCTGGTGAGAAGGGCCCTTCTCAGTTTTCCGTCCTGGCTGGCAATGCACCATCTGGCTTTCTAACCAGTCAGTATCCAGCCAAAAGCTTTTAGCCTTTGTCCTTATGTTAATGTCTGCTCAGTTTGTTCATTTGCATTTCCCAGCAAAAATACACAGCATTTTTCAAAAATACAGTTGTTCTCAGCCAAGGATATTTTCAGTCCCTTACCAGGATCCAGTCTGAACTCCTGTCAATAGCTATGCCACCATCCTGGACGTTTTTGGAGCCTTTAATATTTCCTGAAATTGAATGGATGATTGAATGAATGAAGAAGAACAGAATTGAAATGGATACACTACTTGTCAGCCTTGGGTAAATAGCATAAATCCAGAGAAAGGCTACAACTATTGAGGTCAGCTGTATCTGCTGCCCTAGAAGGACTCAGGGTTAATGCTTTCAGCAACTGTGACAGTAATGAATACACTGGAAACAAGAAACTTTGCTTGTATTTCAACAGAATTTAGGTGAGGATTTAAGCTGTAGCCTATAGGACTTAGCAGTGTGCCCAGTTTTCCCTGGAGCACCCAGCCTGTGCACCTCCTCAACTCTATGGCAAAGCAAGTATGGGGAAGGGGAAGCAGGACTGTACCTCGCAGAGGTATCTCCTGGCACTGGATTTCCTCCTGCAAAATGGTGCACTTCCTCAGCCTGCCCAGCCCCTTGTCTACTGAGGAAGTAGCCAAAATCCTGTGGAATGAGAATAAAAGGAGGAAGAGAGGGAAGGCAGCAGATTTGAGCTGAATCAGCCACTAAGATGAAAACACTTATTTTCTCCTACGAATCATCATTCTTCCCATTATCTGAACTATGAATACAGGAGAGCTATCCCAGGTGAAGGAAGAGGCCTGGAAGTGGCTTGTCCATAAAATACTGGAGATAAAGGGAGGCCGGAGGTGCAGCGAGAAAGTCCAACCACCATGTAGGAAATGGCAGCACTGCTGTATGAAATGGAGACTGCTCTTTGAGTTAGCCAATTTCTGCTCAGGGGGTAGAAAAGTTTATTTACCCTGAAACCTAAAATATGCTGCCTGCTACACAGCCTAAGCAATCTGCTCAGCATAATATAGGTTATCTCTACAGTAACGACTTGTGGTTGGCTTCTGTTCACTGGCCTAGTCATGCATTTCGCTTCCTCTACAGACCAAATAGTTTAAAATACAGCAGTTTCCAACTCTTTATGGTCTTCAGACCAACCTCACAACACAACTCTTGATAGCTGGTGGGTGCTCTGACTGCTGCAGCCCCAGCAATGACACAATATGCCAGGAAGTCTTGCAAAAACCCAGCTGCATGTTTCTGCCATTTGGTTAAACGAGCAGACATCCTTTCTGTACAGAGCCACAACTTAGGTGTGGGTGAGGGGGGAGAAGCATCATGAAGATTCACAGGCTGCCGGTGTACTCCTCACACCAGTGAAGCTCTAGCACCACTCATCAGCCCCTGAGAACTGAGGAACAGCTCTGGGTCCCAGGCAGAGCGACCTGTGCTAACAGCTGTAGAAAGTGAGAAGCTACGTGACCTCAGGCCACTCATCCATAAAGACATGGGAAATGGGGGTATGTTCTTCTTTCTTCTATTCCTTACATGGGTGTGTTTCCATCGGAGTGCTGAAGAACCGAGGGCCACAACAAAGAGGCTGTGTGTGATGTGATCCACGTCTTGCCAGTGTCAACATTAAAGCTCCTCAAGGACTTGACCACTGAAAACAAAGAAATAAATGAGCACAAACTGTGATCTGTAGAGCCACAGTTAACAGACTCCTGGGCCAGCTCTCCCTGAACCCTGCCCACCACAGCAGCAGAAGCAGTTGGCAGAGGGAGATACCAAGCTATGGAAATTTCACTGATTTAGATTAACAAAGTTGTTTTTTTTTTTCCCCCCAGCCTACTGAAAAATACAATAATGCAAGTCCTGTTGTTCTGTTATGAAAGTCCATCTTGGACATCACAGAACATCCCTACTACCTGAAGCTCACAAACCTGGGTTTTCCTCCTGAGAGGAAACAAAACTCCAGGGCCTGTGCTGTTGTTCACTGCTGCTCACACCGCTGCTCTTGATTTCTCTAAGTGTGTCAACACCAGTAAATGCACAGGCTGGGGAGAGAAATACACTTGAACCCAGGTTACAGACTGAAAATATCACAAAGTAGAATGCACAGAAAGCAAGCTACTATGGTTAAGTTCTGTAAATTCAAGCACTGATCCATGCTGTATCACCAAACCTCTGTCAATCACAGGACAACTTTGAGAACCTCACACTAATTTCAGGAACAAACCCAAATGACTCCAATCACACTCTGTTCCTGTTTGAAACTAGAATGAAAGTATACAATCTGCCTTTACAGATTACTCCAGCCTAAAATGCTTGCTCCGAATGCCCAGACTCTGACTCTAAAAGCTGTAGGTTGAGCCTGCATTTAAACACGCAGTCCAGCATTTTGAGTATAATCCCTGATGTACTAACAAGAGATCAAATTATGTCCTTGTGTTCATCTAGAGTCTTTCCTCATTCTAATTTCACTCAGACTGAATTCCATGTCATTTCCCAGCCTGGCTCTGAAAGCACAGGTGAAAGAAGAAGTACCAGAATTGGAGCAATGCCATTAAACATGCAAATAGTATGAACTGAAAGTCTTGCTTCTGCTTCCTGAAATATCCCACGCTTCAGGCATCCCTTTCAGAGCACAGGCAGACCATCCTGGACTCCCACCTTGCTTTGCAAATCCCACTTTACCAGTTAGAATGCCTAAATTAACCCAGAGATGCTCCAGTGTATGTTTCCACTGGAAGGGAATCAGCCCAACAATACCACATTTACAAAAGCTTCCAGCAAACTTCCTTTAAAACAAACCCAGAATTCTAGATCCACCTAAAAAGCAACCTGGAAAATTCAACTGGTTTTGATGTAAGGGACAATTCTCAAGCAGATAACAAAAAGAACCGATGGCCAGGCAGCTGACCTCACTCTTGGGAATATTCCTGTATTGGAATTGTGTGATGTTTGGCCTGGAAACCAGAGGCTGCTCAACTCTGCATTCAGCTCAGCTGCTGCCATCCTGCAAAGCCGAGTTACCTGAACTTTTGCTCCAGCTCCCTGCTCGCAGGGGTTTCCAACACAGATGACCCAGAGGGTTTTAGCATTTAAGTGCACTAGACTTAAACTAAGAAAAAAAGAAAGCTGTGTTGTCAATTAGCCAGCTCTACAGACAAATTTATTAAAGTCATTCTGAGAATATAACCAAGACCCACCAACTACCTTCTTCTGCTCTGCTGCTTTCATTGGTAAAACCCACAAAAGCAAAAAAGCACAAGAAGAGCAATATTAAAGATCTGCAGAAGCTCGCAAGGACAGAAGCCTCCAGCAATGATCCCACCTTGATTTTGCAAAAAACAAATCAAGAAACAACAAGATTTGAAAAAACATCAGTAACTTCTGCAGGCATATCCATTAAGGATTTATATGTTTACAAAGCTGGGAGTTACTTCCCATAGTAAGAAACAGGAGAACAAAGATATTAGCAGAAATACATACATCATCATAAACCATGGAGAAGTCAAGCCCAAATAATGAAAAGAGTAGAGCATAAATCTTGATGTTAAATCTAAAATCCCAGCAAAGCAAGCTACAGAGAACTGTGATGGTCATCTCATTAAAAGAATCAAATTAATAACAGTTTTTTCCCCGAACTAGCAGTGTAAAGTTTGTCAGGAAATCTGCAAGGGCACAAAATAAATACTTAAAGGATAATATTCTTTCCATACAAATGGAGTAGGTACAGTGTAGGTATCGGGTCTTTTGAAAAGGGAAACAGACAAACAGAAATTCTATCATAGGTTCAAACCAGTATTTCTCTGTAGAGTGGCTGGGAGAGCGGCCAGTAACATCCCCAGTGCTGTTTTCCATTGCTTGAGGTAATGGAGTAGCAGTATAAGGGTGTTGCCCTTTCTGGGATAAGTTACTAAAGACTAATCCATGGCAGAAGTGTTCCCACAAGGCTACAGGACACAATGATGTGAGTACAGGCTCTGACTCAGGAAATGTTCCCTCTAATTCATACCTATGCTTTACTTCACATAAACTTATTTCCAAGCAAAGGTCTCTAAATTTTCTTTCAAAAAACCCTATGTGTTCCAGAGATCTTGTTAAGGAGATCAACAAACCCAAAACTGCTTAATCCAGGGTGTATCTCAAATTATACTAGAAAGGGAAGAACATTAAGAAACGTCACCTACATTCTACTCTCACCTACCAGCCACTTTTCTCCCACTAAAGATAAAACTCTCTCCACCCAAAAGTATGAATCATAGAAAAAGACATTGCAAATTAAGGACCTTCCACAGAAGTTCAAACATCCTGAATTCTCTACAGAAAAGTAATTTTACTGGCTCGCATTAAGGGACCAATCTGAGTCTCCAGAAATTATTTCCAGACTAATACTTTCATTTTCTAATATATAAAATAAATACAGAGATAAGACTCACTCATTAGAAAGAGTAGATACAGGAGCAACCTCATTGTTCCCAGCTTTAAGGTGAAGGAAGGAGGACTGGAGATACCAAGCAAAAGCTCTTCCTCTGATGCTTCTCCAGATCTGCATGTCTCACTGAGAAAAAGTGACTCTATTGTGGATTTCCTAACTGAGGTTTCAAGGCGTACACCAGTGACATTGTAATAAAACTGCAGATACAAAGACCTACTGAAAGGTAAACTTATGTTCCTGAAAGGTCATTTTTAGCAGTGGCTCCATTTCTGTCCATCAATACTTCTGGGATACATCGGATATGTTGGGAAAAGCCGTGAGGGTCTATGTACGTACTGGCCACCTTGTCCTTTGGTGCCTGGTACATGGACATGCCGCATCACATTGAACTGTGCAAATTTTCTCCTGTGAGCTCACAGCAGGGATTTAAGAGAGATGTCACCTCTCAGATGCCCTTCATAGCAATTTTTTAGTGCAAGAGATCCACCCCTCCTCCCCCCCCCCGAGTTCTTGGTGTTTCCCTTTTATTTTTAACATTGTTGGTGTCAGAAACATTGACATTTTATGGCAGGATGTCCAGGGTACCTTAAGGGATTCTGCATATCTCCTCTCCCCTGTACCAACAATTCTTTGTTTTCTACTGATCCCGTGGTTCTCTGTACTGTTCACCCTAGGCTGGACCAGACTCACACAGAATTACTCCCAGAGAGCTTCTACTATCAGAATTCTGTGTAGCAAGTATTACTCAGGTGCAGTGTATTGTTATTACACATGCTAAATGAGCTTAAGTAGCAAATGCTGAGGAATCAGAAGAGTCATGGCAAATCTTTTCAGGGGCAGGGAAGGGGAAAGCCATTTCAGAGACACAGTTCTCTGCCCGGAAACTGTAAATTTTCCAAGCATTCTCAGAAAAGAGCGCAACAAATCACACAGACACGTTCTAGCTACCTCCATCTCTCTTTCTCCAAGGACTCCCTGTATTTAACAACATATGACAACCATTCTCACAGTCCAGGAATGCTGGAGCACTCCACATCTCAGGGATCTGAACTAAAAGCAAACGCTCTTTGCACTCAGATTTGGTAAGAGTTAGGTGCCAGCTGTGAAGCAGTTGCAGTTGCTTTCCTGAAGCTTTGCCTAGTCCTGTCTGTCCCCCCTTTTATTCATGCTGCTGAAGCAGATGTGAGGTTGCAAAGTGGAACAGTTTTCCTTTGAAATGTCTTTTTTTCCCCAATTTTTCTTTTTAGTCATTTAACAAATTAAAGTTCTTAAACAGAGCAAAGAAGAATAACGCTGACAGCTAGCCAAGGGAACACTCCAGATGAGAAACGTGCCAGCTGCATCGCTTCAGAAATAGCTCTTTGCAGCTTATGTAGACATACATAAAGCATCTGTTCTTTGTCTGAGCCCCTTTGCTTGTCACATTTCAAAGACTCCTTTTGCTAGCTACAGAGGCAACGGAAAGTATGCTCAGTTGCAAGTGGGGTCATGAAGAGATGAAAAGAGAGGGAAACAACTGAGATGCAGATACAGCTCCCCATACTGGCTTCAGCTTCAGAGCATGCTTTGAAAAAGGCATGGGGGAAAAAACTACCACAAAATAGAATGTGCAAAGCATCTGAGGAACAAGAAAGTCTTGCTTCCACCTATAGCCCTGAGGAAAATGGTTTTATGGGGAAATGGGAACCATACAAACCAGACACGAAGCAGTGAGAAGCATGTGGAGCCTAGTAGAGATGCCACAGGAAGCAATGACCACACAAAGTGTGCTCAAGTAGAGGAGGAGGAATTTGGAAGCAATGAGGTCTGCATTCATTTCCCAACCGCCTCAAGAGCCAAGCAACTTTGACCAAATTAAATAGGGGAGGGTTTGAGCATCAATAGCCCTGCATGAAAAGTCACAAGAGCTGCTGGTGTCTTCTTCATGGCATGGTTGGGACTTCAGGGTCTCCACGGCTCATACATCCCAAGCAGTTAAAGAAGAGAAACTGCAGATATTCCTTCAGTGATGTTTGTGAAAGGTTTCTGTTTTCTCAGAGGAGAGCCCTACAAAGCCTCCCCATTTGCACAGGGATGGGTTCACATGCAGATGGGTTTACCTGTCACAAGATGTAGAAGGGAGGGAACAGTTCACCTATTGGTAATTTCTTGTGTCAATGACTGAAGTGTTTTCTTGAAAAACATTGTGACCTATTAAAAGTGGATCCCAAAATCCTCTTGGGCCTTCAAAGCTATGAATCAGCTTTTAAGTCCTTCCTCTTGCAAGGAACTGCAGATATCCCTCAAAATAAACCCCAGATAGCCTTCCTGTTTGCAATGTGACCAAAACGGGAAGTGGCTCAGAAGGTGAAACCAAATAGGAGCCTTGTGCATTAAGAATAAAGAAAACTGGGAAGTTATTGGTATTAATCTCAATAGCGCTAACTCACTTCTCACTGCAGAGAGGTTGTAACTCCTCAAAAAATCTCCTTTTTTTCCACAGCACATCAAAGAACTGTACAACAGCCTGGGCACTGCTAAATCTTCTGACCAACCTGACCTATCTGATTGCTGCATGTGCCTGTCTGGTGTGCATCATCCTTCATTCATGAGCTTGGGAGCGCTGGGACTGGTGGTCTGTGGTGTGACTGTGAAGCACAAGGAATGCCAGGGCCCTGTTTCAGAGCAGATACTAGATGTTTAAGAATATTTTTGATGCAGATCAAAAGATAAACTAACACTTTAAATCCCCTAAGAAACGGATTTAAAGAGAAGCAGGTTCAAAGAATGGCTGAAGAGGCAGGTTATCTTGACAGCAAGCCGTCACAAGCCACAGCTATCAAAAGCACTGCCAGTGAGCAAGGTTTCTCTTTACTAAGACTCCAGGCAGGGATAGCAGATCTGGTTCTGTGTTCCTTGAGAATCTCAAAGTGTCCCTTGCACAGCAAAGCATCAAGCACAGCAATAGATCACTATATGCCAGATGATCCTTTTGTGCAATATGAGCACCTTGCCAAATCTTGGAAACATTTAGGACAAAGCCATAGATGGAAAAAGCTGCCGAAGGCTTCACAGAGCAAGACAACAGAAGCTGGAGTGAGACAAGTTAGTTACAGTTCAGAGATCCAATGCACTGATACTGCAGAGGGAATTGCCCAGCACAGGGGAAGAACCCATTTGAACTGACAGGGAATAAGTTTTTAAAGAGATACTTTTGCTGCCAGTCACATGCATGTAGTAAGCAACAGGATTAAAATGACTGCCTCCAAAAGACAAACCTCCTAGCTTCACTTGCTCAGAGTAGAAATGAAAGACATGAGATCTAGAGTTGCATAGTTTATCTTACTGAAGGGTGTTGCCAACATTTGTACCCTGCAGCTTTTTCAGGGCTATCACTAGCCACTGCCTGTATGAAAGGTGTATCCAATGCAACATCAGCTGTTACTTTTACAGATGTGGCTGTGTAAACTGACATGAAGACCTCAAAACCAGTCATTCGCCCGTGTGGCAGTGTGTTCAGCAAAGTGCTGGGTGACACATCATTAGGAATTTTACAAGGCCTTATAGTCACATCTTCTCTTCCTTTTTGAGAGAGGCTGAAGCTTTGACAATATGCCCGAAGTTGAACATTTTCAATGAAGTACACTTGCTATATTGACAGTTTACAGAAATACTTATGTTATTATTTTAAATACAGGCTGAAAGTGAGACAGTTCATTTTTATCTCTTTCACAGAGTCCAAAGGAAACTGCTCATTCTGCCTGAGGCAGTGTGCACACCACAAAAAGCAATGAGGTCCTTGTAATCATTTACAGGGAGACAGGATGCTCACTAAGACTGACAGGAAATGTTAACCACATGATGCATTGTGGGCTGTCTGTCCCTCAGAAGCCATGTGCAGGATTCTGCTGCTGTTTTCTACAGACACAAAGCAACCTGTGAAAGACAGATGTTTCAGAAATTCCCCATGCGAAGTTACAGGTCCAGGAAATCCACATCACTATTGTGCTCTTAAGCAAATGTGCACATCGTGCAAACAATTTCATTATAACACTGTAAAATGGGAGTTCTGATGTGGGCTAAACACTGAGCACTGCAGGCACTGACACAAAGACTGAGTAGAGCTTTTGATGGCTGAAGAGTATTTGTCCACTCATGTCTCACATCGACAGTGTTTGGCACAGAAGCTAACTCCATCCTTAGCAACTTTTTATGACTCTACAGCAGTCTTTATTCCAAAGCACTTCAGTGCAGTCTCTTGTGACAACAGAATAACAGTTGACCCGTTCTTAGAGCAGTCATTCCATCCTCCGCTTCTCTATGGCAAGCAGCATTATTTCTATACAGCTCAGAAAGCACTGCCTCCCAAAGACCACTCCCACTGCCCCTATGATCTTGCTCTTGCACCTTTAGACATAAGTAATAAGAAAGCATCAGGCAAAGAAAGTTGAGTAAAAATAGTATCTTCAGACGAAATTAATGATTAAAGTGCATGAAAATATTTAAAGCCACAGGCTGAACCACAGTCTTCAACGAAATGCACTTTAATACTGACAATGCCTTCAATTTTTCCAGGTGCTAGAGGAAGAACTGCTCCTTTGAAGGTGGAAGCAAGGTTGCAATCCAGAAAACCTCCTAAGGATTCTTGGTTTGTCCCTCTAGAGGCATCATCTCAGTTGCTGACATCTGGGGCTGCAATAGTGACTGCTCCTCTGAACCAGCTGGTCTCAGTTGTTTCTGTGGCATCCGTTTCCATGATCTTGTCTCTACAGCAGGAGACATAAAAACAGCAGCCCTTTGTCAGCAGTAGGCTGACAAAGGGATCCAGTTTTTAGAAGGGTGCAGGTTTAGGGAAATCCCGACATACACCAGGTAGTTGTGTTAAATGTTGCAACATCCCCAATCCTAAAAAGCCGGCATCTAGTCAGAACCTACGCTGGAAGAGCAGGAGGCTGTATTTCAATCCAGTGGAGCTTCTGCCCAAGCTCTGCCAGGCTGAACAAAATTTCTAGAGAGTAACAGCTTTTCATTTCCCTCACAGAGCTGCTTCTCAGGGAAGCAAATATCGTTATCTTAGGCAGAATTTGCCAAAGTTGCCAGTGGTAACATCCTGATTTGTGCTCAAAAAGCCCTGTGGTTTTGACATTTGGACTATGAGTGGGCCTAAATTTTACCTTTGCTAGAAAAAGCACTATCTATTTGGGCTACTGAGTCAAAGGGAAGAACAGCCCTTGCTTTTCTCAGCAGCATTTCCTGCCCATTTCTATCAGAGGTAAGTGGGAATAGCATCTCCTTCATCCTCATTATTTGTTCCCAACCTCTGACCAAGTCCATACCTGCTCTAATTCTTTATTTTCTCAGCTCACAAGTGATGCTGCTGCTACTGAGGGATGCTGCATGGAAGCAATTTCATGAGCAAGTCAGACTGCCTAAAATTTCTGTTACCAAAAACATAACAACATGCCATGAGTAATTGTGCAACAGGAAGCTAAAAAGATACTGAAGATGTTTCTTCATTATTTATTTTACCTTCTGGGTTTATTTCTGAATCATTGGTGTTGCCAGGGTCTTCCTTAAGAACTCCCACATCCTTTGCCCAATCAGTCCATTTAATTTCCTCTACTCTGGAGAGACAAAATGCAACAGACACTGGTACATAGAGCACAGCATTTCAACCCAGATCACATTATCCCACAGCATCACAACCCAGTTCATCCTGCCAACACAATCCTAATGGTTTAGCTGTAACAACACCACCAGACAGAGCTTTTCTTTGAGTAAAGATCTTCTGTAGTCTAAGTTCATGGGGTCAGCATCTTCTCCCCCTGCATATTGTGTGATGGTCCTTGTTGTTTGGTTTGAAATACTCCAGTTCCTCCCAGGGAACATACTTAATACAAAGGAGGGTCCCAAGGTTCCACTTTCTATACATGGTCTGTAACACACTAAAGTTACAGTAGTGCTGCCTGCAGTTCTTTTCACTGGGTGGGGAAAGGTTCATCTGCTCTCCTAGCGCCTGTATGCGAGGAGTGCTGCCCTCTCGTGTTGTACTGCAATTGCATGTTCCTGAGGGGCGACAGGCCTGCCTCCCTCCCACCACAGCCTGCTCTGGGAACAGCTATACTTGCAGCAATAAGGAAAGCATCACTGCAGACACTCTGCCACCAGAAGTGCTTGCACGGATGTGGGTTAAACAGGACATCTTTGGGTGACAGCATGTCTTGGTGGTTCAACTAGCTCTCAGACTTCCACTAACCAACTTGCATGTACCCAGGAACATGTGGTTGAGGCACTCTGTTGAATCAGTGCTGAAATTCCCTGTGGCGGTTGAGGGTTACCAGCTTATGAATCATGACAATCTGTCACAAGGCTGTAATGGTCATCTGTCTTACCTGAAGCACCACCTCTCATCTTTCTTATTAAGGCCCACCGACATGAAGCAGCCAGATCTCCTCTTCCCACCTTGGCGCCACAGCCAGGCCTTCTCTATCTCTAGAATAGCAATAGCCCTCTGAAAGAAGAGGTCTATGTCAGAAAGAAAACAGGGCATACAGAGCCCAGCCCCTCTTTTCAATTCAATCTTCTCCAATCAGCAACTAGTTGGACTTAGAAAATTGCTTTGGAACCCAATCCCAAAGTGCTCTTAGCTTAATAGTACCAGTCACTCAAGTTATTTATGCATGTGGATCTGAACTGGATGGTAGTCATCCAAAAAGCAAGAGTTTTAAATACATGTAAAAATGATAGGATTTAGCTTATAGCTAAGGCTTAGGACAAAGACAGGCACTGTCATCTCTGATGTTATGAGGCTCAAGTAGGAGTCTAGGCCATGACATAACTGCTGAGCAGCACCGTGCCTCACCTGCAGCTTCCAGACGCTTTTGCTGTAACCAGAAATATCTGTGACAGTCTCACTCATGAGTGCAATCAGCATGTTGAGCAGAAGAACGTAAGTGAGAATCACAAAGAGAAGCAGTAGGAGCATGACAAAGTATCTGAATCTGGCATGTTCCTGAAAATCCAGGTCTCCCATCCCAATGGTGATCTTGAAGAGCTCCAGAGAGACACTAAGCAGCCCACCGTACATAGCATGGTTCCCAGTGCCCTCCAAATGAGCAAGAGACTTGTTCTGAGAAACCGAAGGAGCATCCCCCATCAGTGTAACCAGAGCTAGGAGAAAAACAGGATTTGAATCCTTTTCAGAAAAAATTTACTTCTTGTAGCCCAGCCTATAACATAACACTGAGCAAGTCCTTACCTGCAGCAAAGCCAAAGAGGAAGATCATATAAACCAAGAGGAAACGCAGCAGATCTCTCAAGATAGTCTGAAACACAAATCGGGAGGAAGCGTCATTCTTTCTCTCACATGAAATCATGCGGATGATCTCCCGCTCTCACACATCATAAACCAACCCCCAGTAACAATACTGAAAGCAAGCTGGAAAACATTTGTATCCAGTTTAAGAACCTAATACGTATTACTTCCTTAGGTAAGTAACATCATTTGGTAGCTTAACCTGACAGTATTACATGAACTTATTTGTTGTTATGTTCATGTGAATAGGTTCTTAGAAATAAATAAATATCATGTCAGTTCCCCAGTATGGCTGCTTCCAAATTGTTTTAACACACACACCCCCACCCCCCTCTCTTTTCCATCTCTGTGGTGTTTCACACAAGTGGTGATCAGAATTCTTCCCTGGTACCACATTTTGCCTCTGCTTTGTCTTGTCTTTGTAGTCCCATTCTCCTCTATGGATCTGGAAACACTTCTCAGCCCATGCACAACAGTTCCAGGGAACTCACACTGGTTTTGACTGCTAGTTTTGAATTGTTTTATGACAAATAGGGAAGGGTCAGCTGCTGCCACTTCCTATATTCGAAGATGGCAAACTAGTGGTTTGCTGCAACTGTACTTCCTTGAAGATATTGGTCTAATCTCCTTGTGCAATATATTTAGTTCCATAGTCAGTACATCAATTCCATTTATGATTTTCATGGTCCTGAGAGAAGAAAAGTGATTGCAGGACTTCTATTGGTTCCTCACACCTAAAAGCCTTTCATACAAAGTTTTTTCCTGAGCACTGACCTTCTGGATCATGACACTGTAGATCCCAGTGCGCTGAAAGCCCCGAGTGTAGTACAGCATGTTCACCCATCCCAGAAGCAGGGAGAACACCATCACTGCCACATAGTTTTCTGAACTTGCACCATATAGGACTGCTGACAGCAGCAATGAGAAAGCCTGGATGAAGCTGGAGAGAAATAGAATGAGTGACACAGTGACTTACCTCAACAGAAAGGCCCATTTGCGGATCTGTTCTGTTTTGCAAGGAAAAGCAAGCACATTTTACGAGGCTACATGGAACATATAAAGTGGCAGTTAATCAGACACATAGTTTATATAAGCAAATCCTGTTATAACCAGACCCACGAACTGTTGCAGTTTCGTTATGAACTGGTTAGTCTCACAGTATGGAAACTTTGAACTGCTTGATGTAACTCACATAACCGATATTAAGTGGAAAAAAATATAACACTTATGAACACATGCACGCATACAGGCACGCACATGCATCTATACACATTTCTCCTCAGAAAACTGAGAACTTATTTTCCTTTCAGTCAACTCTGAGCCACAGTGACAGTATGATGAAGAACTTGAGCTCTTTTTCTAACAGGTATATGTTCTTAATTGCAGAATAATTGAGGGTCTGACCTTCACTGTGTTCCACTATAAATCCAAGGACAGACCATACCCAGCAAAGTCCATTACAACAAAGGGTTATGACAAGATGCAGCAAGTAGAAGCAAGCAGGGAAAGGATGGAAAGAGGAGACAGTGGCAGAGAATCATTCTTTTCTGCTCACCATCTCTCTAGCAATGTTAGGGCAACTTAGCTGCACACAGCAGAGAACCAATTTCACCCATGCTTTCACTGTGCAAAAAACCTCAAGAGACATACATCAAGATCTCAATGCAGCTGTCAGAACACATAGTCTTCAGGGACTGGCGTCTCCTCCGCAAGTACAGACTCTGGCAGAGAAAAATCAATGGTAGCCATTCATCAAAAAACAGGGCATGTTATTGAGTGATTCCTGCCCAGCATAGCCTATTCCTCAGGGGCAAGGTTTGTTCCATAAGCTCCTCTTCATGCTTTCATTTGCAAAATCCCAAATTTCAGCTATTCATCCTTCAAAGATGAAAGAAAGGCCTTATTTATAAAGTGCATGGATAGATAAGGGCTTAATCATGGCTCAGCCCAATGTCTTTATTAATAGACTGCATTAAATGCCAAGGATGAATTTCAGTACCATAAATCACAGAAGTGTCTCATAATTATTTGCTGTTGTGAACTTATTCTTCCTCTTGCCCAGCAACCTGGCTCGTGCCATCCCTATCACTGTTAGATTACACTGACACTGTGTCTTGGAGCAGGATTCCCTCCTACCATCCACTCATGCACATCCTCATGTCAAGAGAACTGAATATGTTGCCTTCATGTCAGTAACAGTTTCCTTTTTTTTCTTTCTCACAATGGAACTAAACAAGAGATCCCCATACCTGAGCAAAGATTAGATAAATGCCTCCTAGCAAGATAATGATCAGTCCAGAGACCCACAGGAAGCCTCCAGCCGTAAACTCCACTGGAAATGAAGGCTGCAAAATAAAACCAAAAGAAAAAAACCCACTGAAGACAGGCAAAGGTAGTGTTGATAACCACCCTGCACCTTTTAAACTCATCCAGTCAGGCCTCTCTAGATAAAAGATTGGACCTACCTTTACCCGTAAGGGTTGATAGTACGCAATGGCTGTAAAGATGATCATGAATGACAAGTATGAGACAAAACTGAAGTAGAATCTCTTGGAAGCAAATGTTTCCCATTTTTGTTGAAGCAGTTTGTTCAGTGGCTCCAAAACTACCATCTTGTACCGATTCTATGGAAAAACAAACAAAAAAGTACTCGTGTGTCAACAGGAATGCAAATTCACCAGAGGATTGTCTTTTTCTGGGTAAGAGGTCAGTGGCTCCAACTAGGGAATTGCTAAGGGTTTATTCAGCCAGGCCTTTCAGTATGAAAGGAATCAACCATCCCATAAGAAGTTACTTCTGCTCAGCTTTATCAAGGTATTTGGACACGCTTAGGACAACCAAAGGCTCAAAAATTTCTCTCATATTCTAGATTATCAGAGGTACACCAAGCAGACTATAAATACTAAAATGTTCCAATACTTCCAACATGCATTTCTTTTCCAAAAAAGTAATCATGTGAAACATCACATTAACTTGAAATGATTTGCATAATACAACAGCAACCCTACAGAAAGGCAGAAAAAACATTGCTGCCATTGACTTTGAGTCGCAGCACTCACCGGTGTGTCACTGCTGTATGCCAGAATCTCCAGCACAGAGTTCTCCTCAAAGCTGTCTATAGAGGACAAGTCATAGAGACACACATGGATAGGCCCATAGGTCCATTCAGTGAACTTGCGTGACAGATGCCTGTACACCGGATCTTTGATCTCTCTTTGGATGATGTGCTTGAAGATCTGAAGAGAAACCAGATGAATACCAGAAAGATATGTATGCAACAAAGGTATAGGATGACACAAGAATACCCAACTCACCTTCAAATACATGACACCTGGCTTTCTACAGTATTCACTTTGATATACCCAAACATCAGACTAACTGGCTAAAAGCAGGAAATCATCTAACTAGGTCTTGTATCGGCTCCTCCAGAAGTAGAACCAGTTTCAGTTCAGACCATCTATCTTGGCTGGGACAGAGAGCAGCAGCAGCCAGCTCAAACTCTGTAGCACACTAAGTGCAGTGGCCTGAAGGAGGCCTCCTTTATTGCCTCCTGTGGCACTGCCACTGTCAGTAGCATTACTACAGGTCGGGTGCAAGATGTTCCTACATCAAACCCTAAGAATAAGCTTAAGCTTATTCTTAACCCTAAGCTGAGGATGTATGCTACAGTCTTCCATGTTTCTCAGCCACCCCATGGTTCCCCCTGTCTTTACCTCCACTTTGCCTGTCTTGGCAGCAAGCTGCAGAGGATTTAATCCATCATAATTCACTATCTCCTCCAGCTTCCACGTTGGGTCAACCTTCACACCTGCCTTCAAGATCTCAATGTATGTTGTGCTCACAAACTTGGTGTTCTCCTCAGTGTCATCTGCAATCATCACCAGGGCATGGAGGACTGTGTTGCCCTGCGTGTCCTGCTCCTGGAGCCTGGCTTTCTGGTGAGGATTGTTTAGAAGATATTCCACAACCTCAAGCTGGTTGGTACAAGCAGCCAAGGAGAGGGGAAGTTCACCTGAAGAGAGGAAGACAGTATTTGAAGGTGAAGCAGAAAGAGGTGAAAAAGAATTAGAGAAAAATAAAAGCAATTCTAGGAAGCATATTTAGCCTATAGTTTTACCACTGGAACACAGAACAAGTGCTTCCTCAGTGTCTCTAGATTCAGAAAGGGTTTTGTAGTAAATTACTCCTTATTTTTGGGGGCAGCTGAAACACTTTCCCAGACCCCTAATTTGGTTAAAACTAACCAAGTGCTTGTTTCTGTCTGAAGCTCCTCAGATGGGATTAAATACATAAAACCAAAGATGATGCCAAATAAATGTTCATTGGACACCTCAGTCCATGAAAGGATCCTGCCATTCAAATTAGTCAAGAGCTTGATTACAGGACAGTGGAGATGCTAACCCATGCAGAGAGGGGCAAACCAAATGAGAATTAGTGGCATTGCATCCAGTAAGGCAATGTAAAAAGTAAAGGAACATATTCCACGCTGACTCACCAAAATAAAAGTAAACTCCTTCTTTCTTCTTCTTGAAGAATTCACCATGGGCTCTGGCATGGACATCAGCTCCATTCTCTACTAGAAGCTTCACTAAATCTAGGCTCCTTTTCTCTATGGCAATATGG